CTACTATTTTTTTACTAGATGAAAAAATAATACTTCACCTAGAAGTAATCTAAGAAACTGAAAATGTATCAATATTCTGGTTTCTTTAGGTACAAATTGAATATGCTTCTACAATGCTTCCTGATGTTACTTTACATCATTTTATGTTCCACTACCAAAAAACTTCAGCTTGGTAGAAATGAGAGAAACATTCTTTTGTATACAGCATCCAAATATTTACATATTCTCCCCCTTCCATTTTGAAAGCTACATCAATCCATTGCTATACTTCTAAGAAAAGAAAATACATTTCTATTGAAATCATCATTTGCTAATTTTTAACAGCTAAATCATGGTTTTATTCTTAGGGAGTTGCTATTATATTAATGCTTGTTATTCTTTAACCTTTTTTTTACTATTTTAAGTTCCTACAGTACAGCATTTTAATAAGAATAAAACTATTTTACAGAAAATAAAAATGGTTTCCCGGTCTCATGATCTCAATAATGTTGCAGATTGTGCTACTCACCATTTTCTGTTACAGCAAGAGTCTGGGCATCACTACTCCCACAGGCTACATCAATCACTTTCAATCCTTTCAGGCCAGTAACCAAAACTGGAATTGTCTGGTCTTCACTGGAGCCTTCCAAATAAAAAAGAAAGTGAGAGACCCTCGCTCAAGATTCACAGTAGGAGTAAAAAATTGGGGTCACCAGGCCGTCTCTGATTGTGATGGCTTGGATCAGTGTAGGGATTTCCCTTTTAAGTAATGAAACATAGAAGAAAATGGTGAAAACTCTAAAGTAGTTCTAATCCATTAAAAAATCCACCTCACAATAAACAGATTTATTTTGCTTAATTGTGACAGTTCCAGCTGTCCTTGTCCCTAAACACATTAAGTGCAGCCCCCAGCATCAACAATCTTGCTTGTTCTTGTTAAAGGGGCTCTAGAGACCCCAGAGGGCATTTTAATAGCCCCATCACAAAATTTGTATTTGACAGCAAAACTATTTGCTTTCAGTGATGTTAAGGGGTGGGCGGAATGAACTTGTTAAATCCACCCATTTAAAAAATGGAAAAAAATCCCTACGCCTGTCACAGAGCTACTGGCCACACTATCTGCAGCTCCACCAGACAGAACGACAGAAAAGGCAAAAACAGAAGGAATTGTTCAGCCCTTTGAGGTAGTCCAGACAAGAAGCACAAACCATGGTACTAACACTACCTTTATTGCTACCTCAAGTCTGAAGGCATTTCTCCCCTCCTTTACTTTTACTTTCCAGAAAATCTATGGTGAGTCCCTTCTGAGGCATTTATCATGGCCCTTCCGTTTCTGAGATACCTTCTGAATGATGGTTGTCTAAGTCTGTGTTAGTTAGTTTACTTTATTGTCATTGCACGTGCTAAAACGAAATTAAATGCCATCTTCAGTGTACATTAAAACTATAAAAATAAAAACACAAACATCCTTTACATTCTATATAATTGAAAATTGAAAATTGAAAACCCATATTGCATTAATATTGCACTATACCCTAGACTTCAATATGGTTACTGCCCTGGGATGGAAGCTGTTTCTCAGCCTAAATTTCCTTGTTTTTATTATCCTGTATCATCTGCCAGATGGTAATAGTTCAAAAGAAAAGAGTGCTCAGAATGAGATGGATCTTTAAGGATGTTTTGAATTTTCTTAAGGCAGTGGAGCTATAAAGCTCTTCCAAAGAGGGAAGAGGGCAACCAATTATCCTCTGGGCAATGATGTTGACCCTCAAGAGCACTGTCCTATCTCCCACTGTGCAATTGGCAAACTATACACAGATGCAGTAAGTTAAAATACTCTCTATGGTGCATCAGTAGAAAACCACCAGCAGTTTTCCATTCAGTTGTTGTTTCCTGAGAAGTCTCTGTGGCTTTTCCTCCTATCACCTAAGGTCATTCCAATATACCATTATGGAAACCCAATGAAGCCAAAAAAGGATGCCACCTCCTGCTTTAAAGAAAATATCAGAAACATACCATGACCTAGTCTGCCATAGTTTCCTCGGCCCCACGTGTACAATTCTCCATCAGCTGTTATTGCAGCACTGTAGGTGCCTCCACATGCAATGTGTACAACATGTTTTCCAGCCTGCTTCCCAGAGAGAGCAGAAATCATTTTTGGTTCTTCTAAAGGCCTAAAAAAAGGGAGTGTAGTAGGAAAGTACAACTATGAGAATTAACAGAACACATATTATAAAATGGCAACAGATTCCATGCACACAGCAATAACTATAAACAAATCAAACTGGACATCATATACTATGCAGTCTATTATTAGAAAAACAAGCTATTCAAAGAAAATGTTGGCTTCCTAGCACTGGACAGTTTCAAGCAATAGCCACACAGACATATAAAATACATGCTGGCTTGCATTCTTGCATTGAACAAGGAGCTGCCCGATTGTCTACATGGGCCCTTCCAAATCTATGATGCTATATTTATCAAACAAAGATTTAACTGCTGTGTAAAACAGATTTCCCATACTATTCAACTGTCTGGTTGCAGAAATTTATAGCAAGATGTGTAGATGCAAATGTTGCTGTCTTACTTATAATCAGAATGATTGTAATTGAGTATCCCAAAATATGTTAATGTTCTGCATAAATCAATATTCTTAATATTGGGAAAATTTCTAACACATGCTCCAACATTTTATTTATTTTGCTGGAAACTTTGAAGAATCATCTCTTACACTCGCGTTTATAACCACAGTTTGGCTTACTGCTTTCCAAGCTTTTGCCTCATCTGACCCTAATACGGATCAATGTCCATCAGAATTACAAAGCAGAAATGCAACTGCTAATTTAGTATGCTAAAAATAAAAACAGAAGCTGAAAACTCCCCATCAATCATTGCTAACATTGTATTCACTATTGAAACAGGAATACATTATATTAACCTGGAGTAAACAATCCCTTTAAAATGAAAGATTGACCTCAAATAAATACAAATCCAGACAAAAATCATGGATGCTGCTAGCTTCCCTACATGCCAAGTTTGTCAATTCCAGCTGAAAACAAGTGTGAAAATTTAATTTCCACCAAAAATAATATCCTTCCTTCATCCCTTCCTCCTTTCTTCCTTTCTCAAGAATGTATGTTTGTGTGCATGTGTATCTATCAAAAGCCACCCTCTAAAAAGTAAGCTTTGCTAGGCTTCTGTTAACGGCACCCACAATTATATCTAATGTCATCTACACATCATGCCAGTTTGTAACAGATAATTTCAGCTTATTTTTTAGCCTAATAATCCTTGTTTCCAGTATTTTTTACTGGTTTTAGTCTCAATAAATGCAAGTGGGAAGAAAGCATTTTACAGTCAAGCCTCTTATCACAAGCTATCTAAAATACATACACAGTATCTCCATGGCCCAGTCGTCCACCATCTCCACAACCCCAAGAGAAAACTTCTCCAGTTGCAGCCAAAGCCAGATAGTGATGTCCATCTGAGTGTGCTGCAATTTTAATAATATTTCTAGAAGGAAGACTCTGTACAAGTTGTGGTGCCTAGATATAAACACACACAAATAAAAACTCTGTATTGAAGAACAGCAGAAAAAGTAAAGTAAGAATCCTTACAGACAGAAATTATAGAATATTCTCAAAACTTTTCAATAGCTAATTGAATAACTATGTTTTTCACTCAAACTAAGTATATTTAAGTAATTAGATACAAACTATATTCAACATGGAAAAATAATCACATATCCTGATTTATATGTTACAAAGGTTTTAAAACAAGGACTTTTTTCCATTTCCACTTTCTTTTCAACAAAAGCAGCGGGTGAGGCTATCCCTCATTTCGGGGTCTACTCTTTTCAATATTCTAAAGCAGAACTGAAACACCATGGAAGCTTTTTTTTTTAAAGGATTGCTTTAAATTCACTTGTGTTTGCTTGAATTATTGAAGAAGATATAATCCATTAACACATGAACTGAAACAGTAAAAAGATCTCAGTACAGATATCTATATACTGTACTACTGAAACTCTCGTGTATGTTTGTTTCTAACAATTGGGTGAAATTAAAACCAGCCAATTGGGTGCAGAGGCCAGAGGGAGGTAGAAACAATTATTGAACCAAGGTAACTCAAATAGGCTAACTTACAGAATGCCAGTACCCATCACTCCGATGGGAATGAAATTTAGAAAGTTGTGGCTGCTTCAGCATCACTGTGCCTTCCGACTATATTTTCCAGAAACCATAGGTTGCATGATGCAACGGAAGATGGGAGGGTTGTATCTGCACCTTCTTTCTGCCTCCCTCTACACCTAACTGGCCGGCGGCAAGGTCTGACAGTAAGCGGTGCTTGGCCAATTTGGAATTGAGGCTGAAATTTGAAATCTCTTAACCGCTGTAGGCAGTGAGGGAAAGACAAGGAAGCAATATGGACACTTGCTGGCAAGGTAAGGCTGGCTGGCTGGGGAGCACCAGAAGTCAACACATCTCTCTTCCTCACTGAAGGGAGAGGACCCTTGAGGACATGACAGGACAGGGAGTGGAAGTTCTGTTTTCCTCATAGTCCACAGTTCCCTTTGCTTCCCCAACCCCCCCACCTCCAGCAAAATGGCAGATAGTTCCATAGATCAGTCAAGGAGGAGAAGGAGTTATTTCTGACACTCCCTAGCAGCTTCTCATAAGCAAAATCAATAGGGAAGGCAGTAGGAAGTTGTAAGTTGTGCCCACTTCATTTGTTTTTCTGTGCCCCTCCCCCCCAATGGTCATTCTGTTTTTTCCCCTTAGAAATCTCTCTAAAAGTATGGTCCAATGGGTTACAGGATGTCTAGTCTTTTTTAAAGCTGAGAAAAATGGATGATTTCTCAATTACAAGTTTCAAATTTGTACAGTAAGAATGTTATCTTTTGTTGTAAAAAGAAGCTAAATAGTAAATTAAAACCACGTACCAATGTGTCATTATTATAGGCTTGGGTATAAACACGCCCATTTTTGGACAAGATCAGAAAACGCTTCTCTGCGCAAGCGATCTGTGTAACTCCAAGACTGGCAAGTCCTTCACACTGAATTGGACCACTGACATTAGAGTAGTATTTCCATCCTATTAATCCCCATGCTATAAACTCCTGCAAAGAAGCCTAGAAGGAAATTCATCATTTGAGAAAACATCAACAATTGTTCTTAAATTAGAATAATTAGTATCTTGCATAAATAATTCCAATTCAAGCGTGTTACTGTTTCAGTTAAGATTAAACAGACTTCAGAAAGATAGTTAGATAAACTTGAATAGATGATAGTATCTGGACTTCATTAATTTGATTTAATTTTTATGAGAAGCATCTAAAAGATTGGACAGTTCTTCTATAATCTAGCAATTACAAAATCTACCAAAAGTCGAAGTACCCTACACATCAAACAAGGACTTCAGAATCCACAAGACTGCATGGTTAACTACTCTTGAAACTGAGATGTACATAAAAGGCAATTTATGGCATGGCACAGAGGCAGTAGGGCAAAGTTTAAAAATCCATTACAGATAAAGTCTCTTATATAAGCTTTGGAATATCCCCAATTTAATTTATCCAATTCGTTGTACATTACCTTATGAGATGTTGGAGAGCTGCACTGTGGGGGCATGCAGGGAGTGGCTAAGCGATCCAGGTGAGCCATAACCACAACAGCTGTTTGCCTTAAATCAATTGCTAGCTCATTGTCCTGTGGCAGTATTAGGTATCTTAGGAAATTTTCATTTGGACTTAGTGGATAAGCCAACACCTAAAATAAACACAACATTTAATTTTTTTATCTTAGGCAATACCTGTTTAAAGCCACATATTAAAGAGCTAAACATTTTTAACAAGAAGATATATTACAGGGAGTTATAGATTTTATGAGATCCACATGTAATTAACAAGATTTATACAATATTTTACCAAAAATATAATTGACGGCTTACTTATTGGGCAGATCATGGATTTAGTACTCAGAACTGATCATCAGAACTAACAGTGGTGTACACAATAATGGCAGTTTTTGTATTGTAACGATAACTACAGGATTATTTCAACTTTCATTTCCCCGCATTTCATTTCTACTGCCCTCAGAAATTAAAAATATTTCAGAGAATTTATAGATATACATAAATTGCAATTTAAAATAGATCCCACAATTATCAATTTGAAGTATGATTATTAATATCAGCAAAATAATTGTACTTCTCAATCATGGTACTTGCCAATGGAACAGATCCTCATTATGAACTAGATGTTAGTCTTCCAGAAAACTTGACTTTCCCCATGGAACCAGATTGTTAATTGAATCTGGCCTACATGGGATTTGATTATGTAATAGTTTTTTGGGTCCTTGGTTACAGTATGGTTTTTTTTTCCAAAATGTATTATTGTATTTTTATATTTATGAGATCACTAGTGAGAAGCCGGTTCTATATTTTTTATACATACATACATACTGTCCCATGAATGTACAAAAGCATGGTTGTAGTCTAAATAGAAGCACTGAAGTACAAACCTGAATTTCGTCTTCTGTATTGTTTATCTCTTTGTTACAAATTATATTCTGAAATCTCTGCAACAAAGGAAGGAGAGGGGCACTGGTTCCCTGTGCTGAGCGTTCATTATCTGTTTCTCTTGTTCCATTATCCCAGAGTTGAAGCAATAATATCACAGCAGACAACATTTGGCTGAAAAAAGAACTGAGACTAAATTGAAGGCATGGAGGAATAAATCTTGTCACTTCTATTTCTCTCGCTTTTTTTCAAGCACTTCCCTTCACACACATGCCCATATAAAATGTTCCCAAAAGCTATTATATTCAAATGATGTTGGATTCTGCAACAAAAAATCTCTTAAAGGGTTTACCTCAGTGTGCCTCTCTGAACAGCCAATTCCAGTAATATAGCAAGTGCTAAGTGCTGGTCTTGCAGTGGAATGCTTCCGGAGCCTTTTAAACCTGGAGCTCCATGGATGTCTCTAATTTAAAAACAGAAATATATTTACTTACAAACACACCCACATACACTATATTGCCAAAAGTATTCGCTCACCTGCCTTTACTTGCATATGAACTTACTGTAAGTGACATCCTATTCCTAATCCATAGGGTTCAATATGACGTCGGTCCACCCTTTGCAGCTATAACAACTTCAACTCTTCTGGGAAGGTTGTCCACAAGGTTCAGGAGTGTGTTTATGGGAATTTTTGACCATTCTTCCAGAAGCACATTTGTGAGGTCACACACTGATGTTGGACGAGTTTATGTGGCCTGCCACTTTGTGGCTGAATTGCTGTCATTCCCAAAGACTACCATGTTCTTATAATACAGCTGACAGTTGACTGTGGAATATTTAGGAGCGAGGAAATTTCACGACTGGATTTGTTGCACAGGTGGCATCCTATCACAGTTCCACGCTGGAATTCACTGAGCTCCTGAGAGCAACCCATTCTTTCACAAATGTTTGTAAAAACAGTCTGCATGCCTAGGTACTTGATTTTATACACCTGTGGCCATGGAAGTGATTGGAACACCTGATTCTGATTATTTGGATGGATGAGCGAATACTTTTGGCAATATAGTATATATACAGTACAGAACTTAGTTCACCATTCTATTATCCAATGTTTCCTGTAAAATATCTAAATACTATTCGCTCACCCTACCCATTCTACTTTTCCAATTTCTTTATAAACAACCATACTACAACACTATTATATTGACCCTCATTTAATGTAAATTTACAAAAGACATGTATAGATATCTTAATGACATGATTGTAAACAAAACAAAACAAAACAGATTAGGAAGTCTCTTACTCTTTAAATCAGGGGTGCACAACAGCCTTAAAAAAGTGAACAAATTCACCATTCTGAAAAGTACACTGCCAAGCATCTCCAATGCTTCACAGTCAGCTCTAACACTGCTATCACTTCACTAACCATCAAACTGCTGCTTGAGGCACATGTTCCTTTGCAGCCCATAATTATTTTTAATTTATCAATGTGACCCTTTCGCTTCTACAAATTGTGAGGCTGTTTTAAATATTCTAGATTATAATTCCAATATTTATCAAATGCCACAATGGCTAGGCAAGATGATTTTATTAGACTCTTCAACCCATATGAAAAACAGTAAGTTGCTTGCTCCAACTTATTCCAACACAAAGGAAGAAAAAGAAAAATAATGGTCATGCTCAAAATCATGTTTCAGTAACACGATTTGTATTAAAACATGGACCAAGCTCAAACAGTATTTTGAAAACTTACCCAGTTACAACAGACCTTAGAAATTTAGTTGCTCTCTCCACAACTTCCAACCATACAGAGGATACTGTTCCTTCGTCAAACAGGGATGCTTCTGATAGGGCTCGAAGCGCATCTAAGGACTCTTGTAATAATTCACTGCAAAGATCTGCATCCTCACCTACAAATGCAATGTGTTTTAGCCGTGGTACATTTTTTCACAGCATGTGATTGGGCAACTGAAAAGTTGGGGAGGGGGGGTTTCCACCAAAACTATCTGTAAATTTAGGCCAGTTATGCAGTACTCAACCTGTAATTTATACCTGATCTCCAAGCTCGCCGTAGGAACGCAAAGGCAAACGAAAGGGCTGCTCTGGATCCTACTCGGGCGAGACCTTCAACACCTTTGCTTACAGATCTAGGACTAAAAGAGAGAAATTGAGGAACGATCTCTTGCTTAAATCCTAAGCAAACTTTTCCCCCTCTCCACCCCCCCAAATCTTTTTTTTTCTCAAATATATTTTATTCATTTTCACATTCCATTTTACAGTCACTTATATGCTGGATATTTGCTATAAGAACAGAAATTTAAAAAAAACAAAAAAAAACACAACTCATCATTCACAACCCCACCTGACACTTCCATCCTCCATACACCCCATCTTCCCCCTCCAACTTTCCTTTCCTCCCTCTAACACTCCCCTCCTACTTCCCTTTTCCCTCAAACCTTCCTTCTCCCCTTACTCCCAGCACACCCTCCTTACATTCCTCTTACTCCTTCCTTACTCCTCCCTCTTCTTTCCCTCTACCTCCCTCCTTGGTGTATTCCTTTATTCAACTGTTGTTTATTAATATAATATGATAAAAAATAAAATAAACCAAGAAAAAAAGAATATAAAGAAAGAAAAGAAAGAAAAAAAAAAGAACAACCGTATACAAGTGCATTCTTTTTCTTATTGAGACTATATTAACACCCACCCACCCACCCCCCATAAATCCCCATCCCTAATCCTCCCGACTTCCCAGGGCCCACACCTGGCACTGCCCTCTGTCTAAAGTATCTTATGATCGTATAGATTAAAAATAAAAGTAATATATTAAAAAAAATTGGTTGGAAGGAAATTCCAATTTTTTTAAGGGGAAAAAAAAGGAAAAAAACAAAAGAAAAGAAAAAAAGAAAAAAAGAACTCTTTGTATTAAGCTCAGCCCCCCATCTTTATTTATGTTTAAATAGTGTAAGTCATTCTATATGTTTTTTATTCTCGTCTCTTGCTTCTTTGTTATTTACCCACAAACACCCCCCCAAAATCTTAAAACCAGGATTCAAACCCAACCGCCTCAAAAGGTATAAACAATAAATAGGTGTTTCTGGAACACACAATCAGGAAACAGTGGACTATCATTCTGACTTAAGCTTTATAGGAATTTTTCTTCCATGTAAAACAAAAAGTCCACGATTTACAACAGTTCATTTAGTGACCATTCGAAATTACAATAGCACTGAAAAAAGTGACGACCATTTTTCACACTTACGACCATGGTTGCATCTTCCTGTTCATGTCATCAAAATTCAGACATTTGGCAACTGACTCATATTATGATGGTTGCAGAATCCCAAGGTCATATGACTGCCTTTTACAACCTTCTGACAAGCAAAATCAATTGGGAAGCCAGATTCACTTAACAACCATGTTACTAACTTAACAACTGCAGTGATTCACTTAACAACTGTGGCAAAAAGGTCATAAAAAGGGGCAAAACTCACTTAACAAATGTATCGTTTCACAACAGAAATTTCGGGCTCAATTGTGCTAGTAAGTCGAGGACTACCTGGAATTCCTTATGTACAGAAACAAAATCCTAATGATATTATTATAGGATAGAACTGGGATATGTGGAGAAGGACAGACTGGATTTCTTTCATCAAACTTTTACCTTTTCTTATCCACCATGGGCAAAGGGATATTGCTGCTTTTCCGCTTCACCTTGACATTCTCCAGAAGAATGCTCCTATTTAACGCGATAAAGTAGCGTTCTAATATAGCAAGCCTCTGTTTCAGCCTGAGAGCAGAGAGAGTTGTGGTAGCAGTCTTCTTGGCTAGAACCTGCTGCTCTTTTACTAATACATAAAGGCAGTCTTTCAGTTCGTTGACATCTATAACAAACATAAGAGCAATGACTTAGCAAAATGTATAAAACTAATCAGAACTGAATATAGTTTTGAATTATAGAACTATGTTCATAATTAAGATATAATAAAAATCTAACAGGGATGAATGTTAACAGAGTGTTTTGGGAAGGGTTTCTTGTTTGATTTATTATTAAATTTATTGAATTTCTAGTTCAGAAAGAAGACATTCACCTATTTTTGTACTAATCACTCATTCATTTCAGATTCTGAAAGTTCCTATATAATGTCAGTAATCAACTATTTACAAAATCCTGTTGTCTTATATTTATTTTCACAATTCAATAAACCATTAACCAGATTTTGCTAAACCTTTTGCAGATCAAATAATTGCTCAGGATTTTTAAAGAACCTTACCTACTTCATCCCAGTTTAAATCTTACATCAGTCTACATCTGCATTAGATGATGTGAGCTGTAACTCAAGAAAGCTTATGCCTTTTAATAATATTTATCAGCAGCAACTTCAGTTTTTAGGACTACCACAAACTAGCACAGCTCTCCTCCTACCAAGAAAATCTTCAGATTCACTAGGAATCCATTCTATCTGCATTGCATCTGTTGCAATCCTATCAGACTTGACACAGGACACCTATTAATGACTTAATGAAGAATTAAGGTACATAAATAGCAACAAGTAATCTTCAATTTACAACAGTAATTGGACTGTAATTTCTATCACTAAGTAATGCTGTCATAAAGTGCAAGTACATGGTTTAGCTAGGGCAATCCCTGAAGCTCGAGTTACCATTGTTAATCAAACCATACAGTCATTAGGTGAAGCAACTTCTTGCCAACTTCCCATAACCAAATCAATGAGGAGGTTGGCAGGAAGTTGCAAGCTGCAGGCAACTTGCGAGCAAACTTGCAGGCAGGTAAGTGACTGCTATTGGATGGGAGAGAGTGCAAAGGAGGTGCAGAGATACTTAGGGAGGATGTATGAGGGTGTGGGGGAGGTTTGTGGTAAGGTTCAGAGAGGGTGAACAAGACTGCACAAAACTATGACGGAGAGGAAGGCTGCATAAGTGGGTGCAAATGACTGACACAACACAAGCGCAGGGAAGCTGGAGGAGTGTGCATGAGTAGGGGAACTTGGCCCAGCAACTTGTGACTGTTCCTGCTAGCTTCCCCATTGACTTTCTGGGAAAGCTGGCAAGGAGAATTGCAAATTGCAATCATATCATTATGGAGCACTACAATCAATCATAACTGCAAAATGGTTGCCAAGCACAGAAGCATGGGGTGGTCAGATTTCTGAGGACTGATCCTAATCACATTCATTTAGCCCCTTCATAACTTTAAACAGTTACTGAACAAATGGTTGTAAGTTGAAGTCTACACACACATTAAACTGGAAGTATATAAGATTTTCGTTGAATTTGATTTAGTAAACATAAACATTGATGTAAGGCTATTAAACGGGATGTATTTAACAATATAACAGAATCTAGCAAGCTAGCTTATGGCAGTAACCATAGCAGGCTTTTGAGTCGTAAATAAACCTAATATACTGCAGCATATAGCCATTTGCAAACCAGTTTTCTTTTAAGTATGGGTAGTTTTTGAGTTATGACCACTCATTCACTGCCTATTCAAAGTTATGATGCTGCTTAACAGCGGGCCTTAAGACAGTCTTAAACTTGTATCTTTCACAATCACGTTTGCAAATCAGGCACTTGGTGCCTACTTCTGATTATGATGTCATAACAAGATCCAATCATACGATCGTGATTTCCGGTATTTCCTGTTGGCATTCCTCAAGTAATGTCAATGGGGAAGCTAGCTGCAAGTCAGAAGTCATTCCTGCCCCTTTTTCACCAGCCTGCATTTTGGAGTACCCACCCACAGTACCCCAACCACCCAGTCCAGTAGCTTCCACATACCCATCTGCACTTCTAAGTATCTGTCTTCACCAGCACCCCATAGCAGCCATGCACTCACTGGCCAGTTCACCTGGGACTCCCACCTTTGCCCAGTTCATAATCTGCATGGTCTGGATGTTACGATAGGACTGCTATGATTTCTGTCACTAAGCAATGCTATCACAATGCATCATGCTTTATGCTTAGTGGTGGAAGCTCCATCTGAATTGCCATTGTAATCTGAAGACTACCTGTGTTAACAAATTTCTTTGTTATCAAGCTATCATCTTAGCATTTGATACTTTCATGGCTACAAGGTAATAGCTCACAATGTTTCCATGGAACTAGTTTGGTCATTTGAGTGAATTCCTAGTTTAATATGTAACAACAGCAGAAACAAAAGAAACAAGAAACACTTTTCTGCTTGTACAAATATATCATGAAAATAAAATGCTCAGCTCCTAAATTAGTAACCAATTTCATTAGCAAGATCTTTCTATACAATTGCCACAAAAATTATTGAAAGCTAGTGTACATCACAAAATAAAGAGAGAAGAAATATTTCTTTAAAATCAGAGACCACGTATCCTGTCTCAGCCAAGATTCTAGGTCCATTCTACTAAAGTGCCAGAATTCATTTCCTGGAAAGTATTTAACATTTTATATGATTGTAGTATTTACTGTATTATTTAAAACAAAATACATATTAAATCGACTGCTTAAATTAACAGAACATCTTCAATAAAAGGAGAGGTGGAATTGTCTTATTTAAGTTCCATTTTTTTTTAGAGATATTACCTGGCTGTTTTCCCCAAATCCAACTTTCAACAATTGATTTAGCTCTATAGGTAGGTGGTGGTGTATCATCCTCATCTTTCCTCTCTTTGTCATTCTGATCGTCTTTCTTTGATCCAGTCTGGCCTTCAGTGCTTTCATCTACAGGATTTTAGAAACCACAAAGAAAACTGAATTTTTTTAACACAATTACTTTCACTTCTAAGAATGTGTCAGCCAAAGTATTCAAAAGCTTATTCTGAATCCTCATATTCCCTCTAATATCAGCCTTGCATAGGGAAGTCAGGAGAGGGAGAAAAAGAAACTTAACTGCCACAGGTGCCTCATCTCCTCTTTCACTTGACAACTCCATTACTCTTCTACTTAAAAATCTGTATTGCATTGTTAACCATGTTCTGAAAATCAATGTTTACTTCACATACATACTACCATTAAAACCTTAGTAAACCTAACTTCCCCCCGTTTATTTAATTTTTATATTTTACAGTGCTTATTTCTTTGAACATTTTAGTCAAGAATTGCTTAGTGTCAATAGTTTGTTTTCTCATCTCTAAATTCAGCTGCAACATACTGAATTAACATATCACAACTAAAATGGTTAACATTTTGGTTATATATTACAACATATAATTATGGAAAGTCAAATTTCTTTTAATTATTTTTGTGGCTGCCCGATCTGAAATTTTAGAGAGAGAACAGTACAGAAAAACTGTGAAAAGTATTGTTTTGTAAAATTAGATTATGATTATTTTTTCATGTAAGGTGAGTAGAGAATAGTAAAGGCTCTCTGATTTAGAATTGTTTAAAATAGCTTCAACATAACTTCTCTTCCCTACCCTTTATTATGTGGCTGAAATGAAGAAAATTTCTCATTCAGTTATGTACAAAAAAGCTTTGTGTTCTATTCAGGCCTAGCACTGAATAAAAACATTGAATTCATAATTCATTTAGTCAAAACGCTGAGTCAGATTGGTTGAACCAGAGCTCTAGTTTTTTTTTAAAAAAAATAGTGCTTTATATTAACTATTGTCCAAGTACTATTCCTTAATATTCTTTCCTACCCCATATTTCCAAGCAGACTTCGCATTATTATATTCTGCTAAATCCCATATACCTATTTCAAAAGCAGCAACATAAATTGGGAAATAGCTTCATTAATAAACAAAAACGTTTTCCGCATCATACATGCATGTGTGTGAGAAACCTCTTGGAAATGATGCTACACCAACACGTTACATTTGGGGGGAACCAAGGGTCTTCATGACAGAATCACCATGCAAAGCAGGCAGGTATGTCACATAAGGGGGGTTGTTTTTTTTATAAAATCCTGGCTTTGAGAAGGGAAGATTTGTTACAGGACTATGTTTATTTTAGGGCTTACTTCAAATATTGTGTATCTCTCACTTTAAAATGAAAATAAACTGAAGCACTTTTTTATTATTAATCCAGAAAGAGGAATATTCAAGGGCCACAAAAAGAGATTCAAGGACCATATGTGGCCCTTAAGTTTTGACTTGCCCATGTTTAATATAAGAAAATTTACCTTTTCGTGGAGATGTTTCACCACTTTGGGTAACTTCTATTCCAGTGTATACGATTTCTCCATCTTTGACCATTTCATTCCACAGACCACAGAGTCCATCTCTGGTAAATGCAAGCTTTAAGGGGGGGAAATAATTCTGATTGTCTGTTTTTTATAGCTATTACAAAAAGAATATGTTTAATACTCAATTCTTAAAATAAATCTTAAAACGTAACTAATACAAAAATAAACTCAGGGCTGTACTAAATAATTCATTCGATTCAAAGTGCATACTATGTGTTTCTCAAAGAATACCCCTAAGTACAAGCTTAACAACAGCTCATATATAAAAAGGAGACCTTCAAAACCACTTTAATATATTACATTCCAAAGGGGGGGAAAATCAAGAATCTTTCGTATACTCAAGATCAGAATTTTTCACTCACAGCCTTACATAACTTGAGGTCACACCAGCAATGTAATGAACAAAATCAGAAGTACTTCTATGAATTGCTTAATAATTTTTTTATCTATTATAGCTTGTGAACAAACAAACAGTGGCTGTGAAAATTGGACCATAAGAAAATGAGCACCAAAGAATTGAGGACTTTGAACTATGGTGCTGGAGACGACTCTTGTGAGTCCCTTGGACTGCAAAGCGATCAAACCGTTCAGTCCTAGAGGAGATCAACCATGACTGCTTTTTAGAAGGCCAATGCCTGAAGATGAAACTCAAATACTTTGCCACCTAATGAGAAGGACTCATTGGAGAAGAGCCTAATGCTGGGAAAGATTGAGGGCAAAAGAAGAATGGGATGACAGAGAAGGAGAATGATGGAGTCATTGAAGCAGTAGGTAAGCTTAAATGGACTCGAGGATGGTAGAGAACAGGGAGGCCTGGAGGAACGTTGTCCATGGGGTCACGATGGGTCAAACACAACTTCACAACTAACAACAAATTATAGGTAGTTTTCCACTTACAACCACAAGTGAGCCCAAAATTCCCCTTGCTAAGCAACACAGTTAAGTGAATTTTGCCCCATTTTACAAATTTTCTTACCACAATTTGTTAAGTGAGACACTGCAGCTGTTAGATTAGTAACATGGTTGTTAAATAATATCTGGCTTCCCCCACTTTGCTTGTCAGAAGGTCGCAAAAGACTGTAAGGTGGTGCCATCGTGTTGTAACGGTGACACAGTTTTAAATCAGCTGAACACATTTTTTGGAAGATTCAAAGCATTAAATAGTACCCCTGCGAGGAAAGCTGTGCCTCATCCTGATGAGCAAATGCTTACTTTTGACATTACCTCTGCCTGGAGGACATTGCAGGAAGTTATTATTTGGAAAGAAACAGGCCCGGCTAATATCCCTGGGCAAGTTCTTAGGGAGTTGCGCAGATGACTTGTCTTGTGTTCTTACAGATATTTTCAATCTTTCATTGCAGCAGGAAGTAGTCCCTACATGTTTTAAGACTGCAATTATTTTGCCAGTGCTTAAAAAGTACATTATCATCCAGTTGCACTTATGTCCATCATTATGAAATATTTTGAAAGGCTGATAAAAGATTTTATTATATCCAGCCTCCCTCCAGCATTTGACTCAATTCATTTTGCTTACCAGGTGAATCACTACATAGAGGATGCTATTTCTCTGTGCTCCATCTGAGCTTGGCACACTTAGAGGAAAGAGCTACTCATTTGCGAATGCTGGTTGTTGACTTCAGTTTGACACAATCATTCCTTAGCATTTAGTAGATGACGATGCTTACAGGGATGAGGTAGTTTGGTGGACTGGTGTAATAAGAACAGCTTGGTTTTAAATGTAGGAAAAATAAGAGATCATTGATTTCGAAAAGGCAGGCATTGACATACAATTCTGTATTAATGATTCCACTGTGGAGGTGGTTAGTAGTATTAAGTTTCTGGGTGTGCAGCTAATGAGTAGGTTGGCTTAGTCGCTCAAGAGTGAGACAATGGTGAAGCAGGCGCTGCTGTGCATCATATGAAATGAGCACATCTTCCTTCCCCTGTCCTTAGCACTTTCTACAGGACAATTGAAAGCATCCTGTAGTATTGTATTACTGTTTGGTTTGGAAGTATTAACAGTTTCAAACAGGAAGGCCATGCAGAAAGTGGTGAGGATAGCAGAAAAGATGATTGGAAGTTCACCTCTTTCTATCCAGGACATGACATATAAGCACTGCTTGACCAGGGTCTGTAGTATTGTCAGGGATGCTACACATCCTCTCTATGACCAGTTTTCTTTGTTACCTTCTGAGGGGAAGCTTCTTACTTTCTGAAACAAAATGACTACATTCTGTAATAGCTTTGTGCCATATGGTATCAACCTTGTAAACTCTCAAGACTCTTTTTTACATTATGTCTTCAAAATGGACTGTGATTAATGTATGCGTACACCCACAAAAAAGGAAATGCCAGATATCTTAGAGGAGGAAGTATCAAGTGTCACAAAATCAATGAAAAATGGCAAAGCTCCAGGAATGAATGTGTTACGGTTGAAATGCTGAAAGCTGGTGGTCACAGTTTACAAAAGATACTAGCAAAACTGAGATGCCTCAGAGAAGAAAAAATATCTAATGCATGGAAACATGAAGTGTTTCTTATATACATAATGATTTAAAGCACTATTACCCAATAACCTTTCAGTCATCTACAAGGCAAAAAGAATACTGATAACATTAAATGATGCACAGCTGAAGGAGCAGGCAATGTTCAGAAGTAGTTACATCACAATGGGTCATATCCAAGTTGTTGAGCAACTCATTGAAAAGCACGAGTACACCATGCCTTTGAGCATGGCTCTCATGGACTACTAAAAGGAGTTTGATTCAGTATTTCAGCAAGCAATCACTAATGCGTTGCTCAACCAAGACGTAGACACTGCTTACATAAACTTACTACAATTAACGTATTAAAAACAATGGCAAAAATTTCCCTTAATGATCTTACAGTGGATATAAACATAAAACGAGATACAAAGTAAATACAATATCACCTATCCTTTTCTCAACCTGCCTTGAAAAAGTACTGTGCAAACTAGATTGGGCATTTCAGACAAGTGACTGTCCAATTTCTTCTTGAAAACCTTCAGTGCTGAAGCAGCCACAACTTCTGACGGCAAGCTGTTCCACTGGCTGTTTGTTCTCACTGTCAGGAAGTTTCTAATTCCATGTCCTTCAAAACCAGCTTTTCTCCAAATGCAAATGTTGATGAGCATCACTGCCAATCAACTTCATCAGAGGCTCTCCAGAATAATTATAAGATACATTCCATATCATTTTATAAACTCCAAACATCTACACTAATTTGGAGTCTTCATAATATAATATCCATTTTAAAGAAACCCCAAGAGCATATTAAAGTGGAAGCATATCTATGTGCTTCAGTTAAATTCATAGACTGTGTATAGAAGACCAACTGTGAAAAAGTCTCTTCCAACAAAAATTGTAACACAATTTCTCACTTCTCTTCCTTTCTTCCTCCCCACTGTTCTCCTATTTACTTTTGTATTTTGTATCTTATTTTATCTTATAATAAAAACATAAAACCGAGAAATGAATTTTAAGCATTCCTGATACAAGATTTAGATAATTCCTATCATCAGTGAATTAAGTCAATTTAAAGCTTAGGTTTTAATAAGGTTTTGAAGTATTTAAATAAATTGCAGAACTAAGAAAAATAGGGAAGTTCAACTGTCCTCAGAAACAGACCAGATAATCTGTAAATAGGAATAACTGCTAGGAACTCCAAAGCCAAGTCTTCCATATCCCCATTAAATGTACCGAATAAGATGAAACCAAAGAATAGAAAGCATTGTTTACAAGGTTGTAAACCATATCAGAGTTTCCTTGGGAATGACTTACACTACTATGATGTAGTATATGACCAACAATTGGTACTTATTTAACAAGCAGGCTTAAAGTACTTTGGTGTATTTTAGAGCACAGGAATTTTTTCTTAAATTGTCATAATATGTCCATGTATGGCAGTGTATCTATTGACAATAGTCCTTTAAATGTATATGCAATACACTTTTTGGATTACAATATCAACTATTCAATCGATGTTTCTGCAAATACCTAGTATTGAAGCCAAGACCTTCTGAATGTCAAGCATGAATGCAGCCACTGACTTACTTCTGTTCTCTGACCTTAAACCATTCAAGATACAACACTGAATTACAATGCAAGTCATATTAACGTTCAGTATGCTTCTGCATTAAAACCTTCAAAACAGAAACCACAAATATTCAGTAAGATGAACTAAGTTTATTTTCAGAAAATAGATAAAATATTCTTATGCTAATTTTTCTCAAGTGTTTTATATATTAAAATCTTATTTAATTTTATAAAAAAAAGTTATAAAACATTAACAAGTGCTTTTAGAGAGGACCAAAAATATTCCATATCCAATATACGCACATCCCAGTCCCATTTAAATTGGGCAACACTATATTAGTAAAATGTTTGGTAGCTGACTTTTGGTAGGAATTGGACTGAAAGTATGAGCCCTCTTTCAACACTATCCTTCTGGTTCATCTAACAAGATTAATTCTAGGTGAGATTGGGTGCCAGGAATGGAGCCATGGAGCTGCTGCTCAACATCAAACCACTATATATAAAATCTTCCACTGATTTGTTTATTTACTCATATTTATTGCTTCTAGTGCTTAGGCGTCTAGACAATGCATGGAACTCAGCAAGTCTGTTAGTTTATTAAAAAATATCTAAGCCTTAGGAGAGTATGTGTAGCCCCAGTCAGATAATGTATCAGCTACAATATTTTTCTAATCCATCCAAATTAACAACAATTTCATTCAGTTACATTATGGCAAAATACACTCCACCCAGTTATTATTTATTAATTTCAATAAATGGAAAGTGTAGTATCTGGATTGCTAATCTGTACATATTATGATAAGATCGTGCAAATAAAGAAAGATCTACACAAATACCTAGTTTTTCCCAAGTTCATTTTACTAGTAAAAGTCTTAGGGCCTGTCTCTATTAAAGATAACTTTTCTCATTACAGACTGTCATGCTTAGTAGCTAGAAAACTCTTTTGAATTCAGTTTACCCTATTTTTGAACAAATCTCACTCTATTTCCCACATATTAACTCTATATTTACAGAAGAAGACCAGAAGATCCCATAGTAGTAAACTAGTTCACTACTAGTAAACTAGTAGTATTAACTAACGGGGAAAAAATAACTTTATCTTACAAAATCTATGAATGGAAAGCTACCTGATTTTAGTTAAAAACCAGAAAGAATATTGTTTTATTCCCTCATTTAAGAACCAAATTCTATAGCTAGTGTATACATTGCTTATCCATTTTAAACTTAACTTGACCATGGCTCTAACTCTATTATTTATTCAAACTACTGAAAATATTTCCCAATTCTGTTTTATGCAATGTACAACAATTGACGTTTGAAGATGAACTCCATGTCCCCTTAATGTCTTCTATGTTTCCATGGCAATGTTATATCGGCCTTAGTCTTGGAATTTGGAGATTATACACAAAACATGTATAAAGACTTATGAGTATGGATGATACTGGAATGTTTTTATATTCTAAAAAATAAAACCTGAAACATAGTTAGCATGTAAATTCTTAACATTCTCTTGAAAGGAAACTAATATTCCTCATTGGAAAAAATACTTCCTATTTAAGAAAATATGGAACTACAAAACATTATGAAATGTACAATCAAATCTCTGCAGCTCCAGAAACTATCTCTAACAACTACCAGATATGTAAAATGGAAACACCCCAAAAGTACAATATTCCTTTTTATGACTTTGTAAACCTTTTCTTTTGGGGTAGAATTTGGGCAACTGGATGGAGCTGAGCGTTTACTAGCCAGATGCCCTTCATGATAGCATGTAGTGTTTACAACAGCTTTTTTTTTCTTTGTGCCCTAGAAAAGACACATCTGTCACTACCTAACTCTCAATCTTCTGAGTGGGAGGCGAGCATCTTCACAATATATCCACAAATAATCAGTACAACTCACCTGATCAACCTGCTATAATTCACACTATGAGGGGAAGTAGAAAGAAGGAAAACCCAAGAAACAAAAGTAAAACCAAAACTATTCCATCCATAGAAAGGAACTTGAACATTCTGCTTTGATCCTCAATCAGAAAAAAAGTCTTAATGTTAAGTTAAATTGTAGATATTAAAGCCTGATTACATATTTGCCTGGTATAAGTCACAATAAAATTTGTTACTCATGATATGTGAATCTACCCATAGTGGTTTACTGCAATGTATAAATCAAGCTACTATGGTTTAAACAACGTATTATGGTTTTTAAAAATTCAGACTATAATGTGTGAACCAAGCACTTGTTAATTCTTTGTCATTAACTATTAAAATAATTAAAATACAAAGATTTCTGAATGGCAACAAATCAATCCAATCCAAGCTTGTATCTGAAAACACACATACACAGAGAGAGAGAGAGAGCGCGCATTATAATATTTGCATTTCCAGTCATTTCACTTTTTCTACATATAGGAATCACAAAAATAATTAAGAATATCTCCAGAGGTGTTAAAAAAAACCTCCAGTCCTAAAAGGGCTAAAATTAGACCTCCAATGTCAGATATTACAATTTTGGTGTAGGGATGTGCAAAATTATCCATGCATTCAACAACTAATTATGGTTAGTCCATGTCTGAACTAAAACACACATTTTTTTTCCTAGACACAGAACTGACAAAGTATAGAGGTACTCTTTGACTTACAACAGTTCATTCAGTGACTGCTCAAAGTTACAACAGCACTGAAAAAAAGTGACATGATCATTTTTCACACTTACAATTTTTGCAGCATCCCCATGGTCACACGATTTAGATTCGGATACTTGACAACTGACTCACATGTATGACAGTTACAGTGTCCCAGAATCATGTGATCCTCTTTTGCAATCTTCTGACAAGCAAACTCGATGGGGAAATCAGACTCACTTAACAACCATATTACTAATTTAAGAACTGCAGCAATTCACTTAACAAATGGAGAAAACTTATAAAATCAGGCAAAACTCAACAAAATTCTCACTTAGCAACATAAATTTTGGGCTCAGTTATGGTTGTAACTTGAGGAATACCTGTATTGTACATTCTATACAAAAGTGTGAAGTCTCTTATATGGAAGAAGGTAAAGAAAATAACAAGAGTACATAACAGTATACAGCAGCTAAGGAGAAGTAACAAACTAGCAGAAACTTGGAGAAAACATATGGATTAGTAGAATAGCTGCCACTATCAAAATCCGTGGCTACAAGCACAGTATATCTACCAGCCTTCCCATTGCCCTACCTCCCTTTAGTTACAATAAGGTAGTGCCCTTGGCTTTATGGACTCAGGGGTTCAGAGTAGCAGTAGGCAGACTTATGCCAGACATGAAACCAAGAACACGTGCTGTTGCAGCTGAAGGGAAGTAGAGAAAGTAAGTTGCTGGAGAAAATCAGCAAGTTAACTATCCATCACTCTAAAGCATAACTAACTAGTTTACAGCTTTCTAAGTCTTTTTCTCGGCCACCAATAATGCAAAATCTTTTGAGGTTGAGGTGGTGAGCGAGCACACAGGCATGTACAACAAGGGGGGGGGGGAGAAAAGTGAGGTGCAGCAGGCAAAAAACCCTGATCAAAATTGGAACATTTAAAATGTTTTAGGTTTCAGTTCAGCTGAAGCATACAGAAATAAATAGTCTGGCAGAATCTGAAAACACTATGTGTTCATTCAAGTTTCTTTTCTTTTTTTAAAAAAAGGAGTTCATTTTGGACATTCTTGTTTTACAATGTCAATTGACTATCTATCCCTACTCACTTTCATTTTTAACCAACAAGTCCATAATTTAAATATTTAAAATGTTTCAAAACTAAAATAACTTTTTGACTCTATTACCCTAGTGCAGGGGTGTCCAAACTTTTTGCAAGGAGAGCCAGATTCGGTGAGGTGAAAATGTGTGGGGCCGACCATTCAACCTGACATTCTTTGAACCATTCACATTAAATGCAAATGAACTATTTTATGAAAGACTAAACAAATAACTCAAGTGGGGAAAAGAGGCTGCGGGCCGCTCGAAATTTGAAAACAGACCGCAATTGGCCCCTGGGCCAGACTTTGGACATGCCTGCCCTAGTATCAATCTGGAAGACTGTACAATTCCTCCATATAGTTCAAATCTGTCATAGAGAGCAAGCTATTACAGTATTTGATAGACTTATTAAATCTACTTTCTTAGGAACATTGCATTTAATACAATTCAACTTTTAATATATGACTATGACAAAGAAATTTTTTTATTATTTTTCCTGAGCAAATTAGATTGTTTTCAATAGAAAAGGCTATTTTCAATCTCAAGGGTTTTTTAATTGCCAAAAACATTGATTTCCAAAACAAAAGCTGTCATATTACATAATCATTAAATATAAGCATTGAGGAGTTCTTACCTGTAAGTCTGTCTTCAGCCATTTGGAATCAAATCTAATCTGAGCAGCCAAACAAAAGGATTCAGAAGACATTTTCTCTTTTCCAGCTAACTGTTTTGCCTGGCTTGGCAACCTATCAATATATATGTACATATGTTTTACTAAGAGTGACAGAATAATCTACTCAAGTGTATTTGCACACATTTTCTCCCCAGATGATGTCATGGTTTCTTAACAACCACTCAATACAGCAAGTTGCAGCAGTCCAGTACAGTATACTGTAAGCAGGGAAATAAGATCATTAGTACTCTTGTTGACAAGAGGTCTGTTTATATCACACAAGATACTCCCAAAGCTTGAGTGAAAAACATCCCCTTCTATTGCACCATACTATATTTTCAGAAGCTTCTGCTGCTGCTCTCATTCAGGCTTGTAATTGGTGCATGAAATAAATAATTAAGAATTATGCAAACCAACAAAACAAACCCATTTATCCCTGTTCATCCTGAAAAAATGAGGCCTGGAAGAATTAAAACCACTTTCACTAGAACTCCACCAATCTTCAGTATTTATTCTCCAGTCCCATCATCTAATCTAATTCACTTTAATGAAAGGCTGCACTTATTATTATCATGCACAGGTGTGTGTGTGTGTGAGTGTGTGTGTTTTTTGGGGGGGGGGTTGCTATCTATTTTAAGCTGCAAATCTTTTTGCTAACCAAAGCACACACGTGTTGTGGGGGAAGAGAAAGTGCCATCTTGGACAGCAACCTCCAAAGCTGCAAAATAATAGTTGACAGTGTTTAC